GCTCCAGATTCCGGGTGCTCTGGTAAAATAAAATTGCCCATAATGTATGAGTGTGTGTGTGTGTGTGTGTGTGAGATTGTATGGGTGTTTCCCAGTACTGGGTTGCGGCAGGAAGGGCATTTACTGTGTAAAAACAAATACCAGAATAGTTAGCAGTACATTCCAATAGGGTGACCCCTGATAAATAGGGGACTAAGCCGAAGAAAAATGACATCAAAAACACAACTTTCATACCATAATAGTGTCAAAATGCATAATCAAAAGAGTGGAAAAAGAGAAATGTATAAAAACACAAATGAATATCATGTCCCATAGTCCCTTTTTAATAACATGTTTGAACATAATTCCCCAAAGCTCTGACATAATCAACAAATGTTTTGGGGTTTTTGTCCAGCATCTGTGGAATGAGGAACTGAAATATACCCCTATTAACCAGATCTGTCAACATTACAAGGAAGCTGGAATCATTAATGAAGACTCATTGACCTTACAGCTAAACATTAAGACTAATGCATGCAGACTCTGTAGTGCAGCACAGTAAAATGACGTAAGGTTTAGAAATGAAATACTCTGGATTCTGCTTTAAATGGATACCGCTAACACAAAGCCCCACACAAAGACATTTTCACACAAAAGTGGGATCTGCTTTCAATGAAACCACAACATTTGTGTTGATGTGCGTGCCGGGCTTTGAAGGACGGGACGTGTACAAGTGTGTGCACGTGTGATGGAAGTGTTTGACAGCAGCCCTGCCTCAACAAATTGCTTTTTCCGAGATGTGCCAACACAAATGTATTTAACTCCGAGTCCAATAAACCGTGGCAGGAGCAGTGACATCTCTCAGGATCTCGCTGGATCCTTGTCAATGTTTTCTTTAAGTTTCTCCCTCCCCGTTTTGTACCGGATCAGGAATGCAGGAGTTGCATTCACTGTTAACAAAACTAAGACTTCACAGGTAACAGGATCAGCTCTAATCAGCGTGACCCGAGAAAGCTTGTATAGGGATTTCAGGCTTTTGTCCTGCATTTTCATAGATGATTTCATCCTCACCACGTTCAATTATGATTATTACTAGGGTGGAATTCCTGCGTCGTCTTTAATTTGCACTTCTTTATTGCCGCTCGTCGCAGTGATCAAAACCTGGAGAAAGACAAAATCGTGCCTACATCTTTCTTTTACTTCACAATGAACAATGGACATCTCATAGAGTAATGGCACTGGTACAGAGAGAAGCTTCTGAATGTGAAGATGACAGAAGGAGGAGAGATTGAAAGAAGAAGAAGAAGAAAAAATAACCATTATCCAAAGACATGTTCTATCCTGTCAGAAAGTCTGTTTTCTCCAGCCAAGTCCCTTGGTGCCTTGTGCAGAAAATATTCAGGCTTTCTAATAGAGATGTGAACAGCAGATAGCAAGAGGTTACGGATTTATCCTAAAAGGAGTGAGAGAAAAATTCTGACATTTATGAGAGAGAGGAGAAGTCATGTAACAACACCAGGCTCTCTGTCTACAAGCCAGAGCTCAATTATGGGCTGGGTGTGTTATTAGTGCTGTCTTATGTTATGTTGCCCTCTACTGACTGTTGGGTTAAAACAACGCATTTCTCTAGTTGATCACCTTATATTTTTGTTAATATCTTAGATCAAAATGGCTTCAGGAAATTCAACGTCAACACAATTAGGATGTTTGCGTTTAGTCATTTCGTAAAACAATGTATGGCATAATTTATTGCAAGCAAATGCTGTGTATGGAGCCAGATCAGTCTCAAAAATACAACATTAAAACAAGAAAGATTCAGCACAATTCACATCAACAAAATCCAATTTGTCAATTTGTAAACACACAATTTGTGAACTCAAGTAAAAATCCTAAATAATAAAAATAAATATTTTTGCCAAATGAATAGAATTTGCATTTTTTAAAATTGTGTTTTGAATTTACAAAATAGATTTGCATACTTTGAAGGGTGTTTTGAATTTACAAATTGGATTAATGCATTTATAAACCGTGTTTTGAACTTAAAAACTGGATTTTTAAAATGTTTATTGTGTTGTGGGTGTACGAATTTTATTTTGTAAATGTTTCTGACTTCACAGCTGTGGGTCCAAGAAAATATAAGCAAAAAAAAGAACAATTGTAAAAATGAATTTAATTATCAAAATATAATATAATTAATTAAATAAAAATCTGATTAAAGTAACCAAATATTTTATTATGATGAATAAATTAGCATTAGCAGGAAATACAAATGAATAAAAATAGCAAATAAAATAATTAATATGATTAAATGATTATGAAAATTGGATTCAAATAATTCAATAAAATTATTAAATACAGGTTTCACTGAAAACACAAATTTTAAAAATTAAAATGAATACAGCACCATAATGAGTATGAAAATGGTACAAATAAACAAAAATATTTATTTCATTAATTTTCCTTCGATTTAGTCCCTTTATTTATTAGGGGTCACCACAGCAGAATGAACCACTAACTTATCCAGCATATGTTTTACACAGCGGATGCTCTTCCTGCTGCAACCCAGTACTGGGAACCATCCAAACACGCACAATATCTAGCAAATAATATATTAGACCTATTCATATATATTTTTTTACAGTATAAATTCGATTTTCATAAAAGAAAATATTAAGATGCCTTTTTCATGTAAGAATGTAGATGTCTCTTATGATCCTTGTCAGTCATATTTGAAGGTCCAAAATATCTAAAAAAAAAAAAAAATGAAATAGAAACAAAAAAATAACTAGTAGCAGCATCAACATTAAGTGTATCCATTAAAAGTATCAAGAAAAGCTCAGAAACAGTTCAAACAGTTTAATAAATTCTGCAAGGTTGCAAGAAAATATTACTTAAGCTTTTGTGCCTTAGTCACTGACCCCACAAGATGGCAGCAGACTACTTAAAGTCGGAGAAAGTGTTTGCAAAGAAGAGTTTTTATTTTCGGTTTTTTAAGATATTACTTATGATTTACTTTTTATAGAGCTTTGTCCATTCTAATTTATGGAGCGCCTAAAAGGTCGACTGATCCAAGGTAAACTACGAGACTGTGATGTTGAGACCCCTTATGTGGCGTATTACCTTTATAAATGTGTTGATTTTCCGTGGTGTCTTTTTTGGCCGGGATTGGATCCTGATTTAATGATAAGCACCGTCAGAAGAGAGATAACAAGCTATTGCTGTTCATTCGATTCTCTTTGTAAAATGTGATGGCCATGCTAACGTCACATATGATAGCCTACGGCAAGCTGATAAGTTTTTCAAAATATTAAAAACGCGAAGCTGCCAAGCTCAAGCTAACTGGACCCTGGGCCTGGTAGGCAAGATAGACAACTTCAAAGACCGTTGATGGATTGTGACATGAAGTATGTCTAAAAACATCCCTAATTTCTGAGTTTCATTTCCACACATTTAATTCAGTTCTAAATGTTGTTATACAATCTTAAGCTGGTGGCAAATCACACACATGCTAGTTTAAACTAACGTTACATGTTTAAAATGAGTTGAAACAACACAATTTTTAAGTGTTTTTGACCATAATCTTTGTTTTATGTTGACAACTTTTTTGTTGTCTTAAATATGTAAAAACGATTAACGTAATCAATTTTTGTTGGGATAACATTGTGTGCAACCCAGCAATTTTTACAGTGCACAAACACTTGTTTTGTATTTTTTTAAAATGCTTATGTGGTGTATGAAGTGTGGGGGAGTTGCAACAAGACAAATTCCTTCATTCTTTTTCCAATGAGCTATGTGACATGTATAATACATGTTCTCAGTTAGACTATCCTTCAATTTGAGAGTTAGCCATATATGACCATTCCTTCAGTATAAAACTTCATTTTTAGATTTAAAAAAAAAGTAGCCTAAATTTCTTAATGTTCAGAAAATTCCTCCTTTTGTCTAATAATTTTTTGTGAAATATTATACATTTGTGTAATTTAAATCTCAGTTTTCTTAGTTTCAAATATGTATAGCTATCAAGCATTGAAGCTATTGTATCTTCCTAGCATAAGCAGGTTAAACTGTCCCCAATTACAAAACAAGCTTGCCATAATAACAATGTACAATCTTAATTTTAACTCAGTTCTTATAAAATCCAACCTGATGTTTTAGAATGTTTTTTTATTATTACATTTTAATAAATGTTGCAACCTTCATCCTGTTCAAGGACTGTTGAAACATTTGACTTTGTCAAGTTTAAATTCTGCATATACGGTCATATATTACACATATTATAGCAATGTGGGAGGGTGTCCAATGAATGTGGGTTTATTATATTAAAATTTGGGGTTTTCACAAAAAAACTGTCTCTGAGAAACGGAAGGAAATTTTAAAAAGAGTTGCAACTGTCCTCTAAAAACAATCATATGTTTTGTTTCCTTTTTCATGCATTTAATTATGTTCTAAGTTTCTTTATATAATTTTAAGCTCTGCAATAGCATACAAACAACAATTTTGAATTCAAATGCTTTAGAATTTATTATTTACATGTATTGTATTAATTTCTAAAAACAATCAATATACTTCCTCGGTTGTTAAATTATGACAGGAGATCCAAATGGTTCAGCAGCAGGAGCTCATCCTCTGCATATGATATAAAAACTCAGATGGTGTCATGTTGTTGACCTTTAGTGTGAATGGTCAAGTCACCTTTATTTTACTAACATTTATACCCAGTTACTATAAAGTTAATTTTAAAATTATATATTACTTCTAAGCCTATCTTAATCTTTTTTAAAAATGCAAAAATAACAAAACACATAATTTCACATTACTTTTCTTAACACATGCTGTTTCTTATTAAGTATTTTTAAATCTTTTCTTTTTAATATTGTAATATATTACCTTTAAAAGTAACTATTCAACTCTGGGTACTGTAAATGTTTAAGCAAATTGTGCACCTCTAAAGTTGTACACTCTCTTGGTTTGAAATGAGAAGCTAGTTTTTTTAAATGAATATTGATAATACAATAAGAATTGATTCAACTCATTTATTCCACTGCTGCAATCACACACATACCAGTGAAGACAATCACTGGATAAAACAATAAATAGTAAATTGAAAGTACAAGTCATTGAATAATAATAGACAAAACTGTGCACATGCCCCAACATATGTCCATAAGGTCCCTCTTAGAGAACACCATCATTTCTCCATTGGAGCAGTGCCTAAAATGGGGAACAACAGAGTGGTCAGATTTCAGCTCCATGGTCTCCAGGCATGCTGGTTTGGAAGAGGGAAGGGATCCTGTCTAAGAGCCAGGACAGGCGAATGTGGTGGAGTCAAATCTCTGGTCATGTGGGGCAGAATGGCTTGAGGAACAAAAACAGGCCTCTGAAGTGAAAGTGGAGTTATTAGAGGAGACAGTTGGTCAGGAAAGGCAGCACAAGATGTTGAAGGACAAGGGGGAGACGATGAGGGAGAGCAGGATGTGCTGGTAAAAGTGGGAGATGATGGCGGAGAACTGTATTGTGATGATGATGAGATGGAGGGAGAAGTCGATTGACGCAATAAACTTGACCCATACAAAGATGATTCAGGGTGTAAGAGCAGCTCCTGGTGGTAGTTCTGGCCTGGTGGGGATAAGAGGAAGCCTTTCTGGGAAACTAGTTTATTCCCTGTTTTGGAAGAACCACTTAGGTTCTGACTGACTCCCAGATTCAGGAGAACCTCGTTTTGCTCAGATGTTTTAAACCTCCTGCAGTAGTCACTAGTGTAGAGAGGACCCGCAGGAGATATAACAAACTGATTCTGGGTTGACTTACAGTCCATTTGATTGGAATTCCCTTGAAAAAGAGACAAGAAAGAAAAATTAGGCAAATGAATATTACATGTGCTACAATACATAGTATGTAAAATTCAATTCAGATATGTTTAGGGTTGAAGTAAAAACTTACTTGCTGTTTCAGTCTTTCTTATAGTCTTTTTGATGTACTGAACTGCAAGGTCTAAAATCTCTGCTTTTTCCAGTTTCGGATTTTGTAAACGCTAAGAAGGAATGGGATGAGAGGGCAGAGAGGAAAGTCAAGAGACTCTTTAGGGGTTTGTCAAGCAAATGGTGCAGAAATAATTAGGAAGCAGTGCATCAAAAATGGATTTTACGGACAGGTAGGCTACTCACAGTGTCTGCAGTGTTCTTGAAGAGCAGATCTCTTAATGCGTCTAGATTGTGGTTAATCCGATCTCTCCTTTTCTTCTCTATGACAGGCTTTAGCCTCTGAAAACAAAAGTTTAAAAAGACGTTAGTGTGTGTGGTTTTTCTTTTTCAATTACCTATATACTGCTACAGGCCCGGCCTTAACCAATTTTACACCCTATAGGCAAAATTCAGGTGGTTTTATTTTCAGTAAATTCCACTGATAGTGTACACATATACTCATAAGAAACTATTTTTTTTCCTTTTTTTGGACGTTCTTTTATTTAAATAAAGCAATTGCACAATATAAAAATACTCAGAATGAAGAATCTGCAACAGTTGGACTGAGAAACCTTACTATCACATCTAAAGACAGAAAAGAAGTATGTGACATCAGTCTAATAATAAACATGATAATTATGTAATTCATATCAGTAACAATTCAAATGTTAATGGCATTACAGTGAAATGCTAATTAGTCAATGCAAAGAATGAGTAAACTGCAGTACAATCAGGGGCAGTTTTAGTGATTTTGGGGCTCTAAGCAATTCAGGCATGGAGCCCAAAAGTTCTAAAATGCACCTTTTATACTTTTATTTTTTTTTATTATTATTATTTAGCTGTTTTTTATATCATTCAATCTCCTTTTCTACATTTTATCTTAATGGAAAATAATAGTAACATGTAAAGCACCTTGTAAATTTTTTTTAACTATTTGTTTTCTTTAGTTGAATTCACAATAAAAAATAATTAATAATTTTGTTTTTAAAACTAAATCTTTACTGATTGGACTGCTGGATTTGTCCATGATGGTGGAGGGCCCCTTAGTCTACAAAATATAATAGAAAACAATGTTTTATATAATTTATAGGTATCATTTAAACTTCTAGGTATTTATTTGGGGCCCCTTAGATTTCCTGGGGCCCTAAGCGGACCGTTACCTTTCTTGTTGGTTAAAAACGCCCCTGAGTACAATATACCATGTGGGAATGCTAATATGTTCCAACATGTGCACTTTAACACTAATGTAAAGTTTTTGTTAAAAGCAATATCCACTGCGTTTTATCAATTATAATTGCTTTGATTGAATGAAATATTGATAATATGGATACTAATATGTCGGAAAGCAAAAAAAAAATATTATTTTAAGAACTTACTCTTTTGATCCCTTCTGTCTTCGTCATGTTGAAAGTCGGTGTGCTCTTCATTCGAGGATATGGGAAACTGCTGAAATGAAAACGCACCAAACGGGAACTTTTACCCCGCCTGGTGGAATTTAATTGGCTAGGAGGTGGCAGTGACGTAGGCCTCGTGAACTTTCCACCAATCTTCCTAAGGTAAACAATGAGTAACTAGAGGTGTTATAACAAATAAAGAAAAGCAAAACTACATTGCTATAAGTTATCTAAATGTTTTGTGGCATTACTAAGTTTAAAACGGACAATACAGACTAAAGCATATTTAATGCACGATTGGATCTGTTAAAATAATAAAAAAAGGCGTAGGCCTATGTTGTTTAATTGTATGATGTATGCAAATATCAACAAATGTTTTGGGCAGCTGAAGCACAGACCTTGTGTTGAACTCCTAAAATACATACGAGCAAATGGCTTCTGGCATTTTGGTGATTATTTAGAAAAACAACATTTTTATTAGTAATGAAAACTTCAGTTGATTGTTGAGTGCCAAAGTTACAACTTGCCCTAAAGGTGTAGCCTATAAAGTATATTTAACTAGCCTAATAATCAAATTAAAGAAAATTAATCTTGGAAATATGTACAATGACGAATTACATTGATTTAAACAGAAGATGTAAAATCGTTGCTTAATTTTGTGGGGGTTTCCCAGTATGCATAAATGAACGCTACTCTTATTTGTGAAATTTCTCCACTGCATGTCTTGCTTGTGTTATTTTATTTATTCGTTTATTGTTTACATATATAATTTTGTTCTGATTCACCATTTTGGTTACATTTTTGGAGTCGCGCGCCACAACGCAACAGCTCGTGGCCATTAATGAGCAATACACGCGCATCCTGCATGGGGGCTGTGGATGGGTGTGATGTCCAGGCTTTTAGAGCAAAACTGTTAAGTGTGCTATAAGAGTGTGTTTTGATAGATGTGTGAGCAATTAGGTCGGCTATTATGTGCCACGTTTTTTAGGCTAGAGTAAACAGGATTGTCAAGTGGATCATTAGAACTCCGTAAAAACATTTGGGTGTGGTTTGAAATGTGCTGATAGATTTAATGGCCTGTAAGATCATGGTCCTTGGATAAGAAGCAAGAAAGATATATTCACTTGGTTGTTGGCACGTCCTCGTACGCCACCTTTTAAGTCGCTTTCATAATAAATTAGATTTAGTCCTACGGCTTTTCGAGAGGATAATTATTCAAGACCACATGGAAGACCCCAACACATATCAAAAGACCAGCACTAACAATTGAAGCCACGCTTTAGTGTTTCAACCAAACCAAAAATACATACTTTTTTTATAATGTTTCTGTGTATAAAGTGTGAATTCAAAAGCAGTTTGTATTCTAAACCAAATAAAGCGCCGTCATTTAGCTACATTAAATTATAAACTTGACTTTCTAAAGGCAATATGCATGAAATTTTGAATTTGAATTACAAGGCGCAGGTTTGAGCCTCTGCTGGGTCAGTTGACATGCTGGACATGCTGTGTGGTTTGCTTGTTCTCCCCGTGTTCGGGTGCTCCTGTTTCCTCCGCAAGTCCAAAGACATGTGGTAAGTTATAGGTGAATGGGGTAAGCTAAATTGTCCGTAGCTAGGCCTATATGTGTGTGTGAATGAGTGATTATGGTGATTGGGTTGTGGCTGGAAGGGCATCCGCTGCGTAAAAACGTGCTGGATAAGTTGGCGATTCGTTCCTATGTGGTGACCGTATGAATAAAGGGACTAAGCCGAAAAGAAAATGAATGAATGAGTTGGCACTTCTAAAATGAAAAGAGTACAAGTTATGCTGTTGTTCAAGGCATAAGCGATAAAACCGCGCAAATGTGTACCAAATGGTTAGGCTAAACTGTGCACTTTGTATGATCATAGCAATTTGCAATAGCAACAGATAATTATCACCATTTAGTGATTCTTTTCAAAATTTCGCATATGAATGGCTCAAACCTCCTTTGAAAATCCTTGGCTGAATAGGCATCGTTTAAACATCTCCGTGGGGGGCTAAATGGGTCATTATTGTCTGTAACTTCACAATCGACCTTATCTACTGCCATTGTCTCTTTCATACGGTACAGTGTGCCAAGGACGCACGTGATTGGTCCTTAACCTAATTACGAGGAGAGTAGGCGTTTACTGATTGTAGCATAAGTGACATGAACTCTAAAGTGATGCTCAAAATCTCAGACTGGAAGGAGGGAATACACAAAATGAGCGAACCAACTGCAGAAACACCAATGGAGCAAAAAGACATGAGAAGGGTAAGAAATATGCTTTTAATATTTGTTTTGCTATGACTTTAACGGGCTTTAAATGCAGGATAACTTCAATTTAAAACAATGTTGCAACAGGACAAAATAACATGCATTTATAAATCTATTTATTTTCAGAATGCTATAGGAATTATGATATTTAAATGCACTATTTTGAATGTTGCAGGTCCCCAAGCCTCTCATGGAGAAAAGGAGGAGAGATCGCATTAATCAAAGCCTAGAAACCTTGAGAATGCTTTTACTTGAGAACACAAACAATGAGGTAAGTTGTTTATTTAATTCTTTATTTTTTTCTTTCTTTGATTATATATCTATTTTTTTATTTTAAATGGCACATTTAAAATGCACACCGATGAACATAAATATTCAGGTCTGTTATTTCATCTGATGTCCCACATGTCTTCTTCTCTTTAATAGAAACTCAAAAACCCTAAAGTGGAAAAGGCTGAAATCCTGGAAAGTGTTGTGCATTTTCTGAGAGCTGAACAAGCATCAGAAACTGACCCTTTTCAAATCACCAGGGTAAAAAGGGCACGCACAGAGGAGAGTGATGAGGATGTGGAATCACCATGCAAACGTCAGAGCTACCATGATGGAATGAGGACATGTCTCCTACGAGTAAGCAATTTTATTACTGGCAAGAGCCACGAGTTTGGCCAGGAACTGGAGAAAGCATGTGAAAACATACACAAATCGCACTCAAGGCAAGTTCAGCTGCTGTCCACACCATCTCGCATAGAAACTCAGGTGCATCTCTATGAGGATCCATCACAGCAGCATCTCGCTCATGTCCAGCTGAGCAATTCCTGCACACCATCTGGCTGTTCAAAGCTTGCACAAAGAACTGTTCCCGCCATGACTTCAAGTCCTAAGCAACCTGTAATGCTCTGTGACCCCGTCTGGAGGCCCTGGTAGAAGATCATGGCCTAAGTCCCTGTGTGGCTCTCCAAAGACTGAAAAGACCAGCTAGGTCTACTACGTGTGGGAAAACACTGCTGGGGCAACATACAGGGAAATTTGTAAATGTTCAGCATGTGTAAATATGTGGATTTTGTACAGTAGATGCCAAAGATTTATTTTGTTATAAAGAGGCATTGGCAAATATCCTGTATAGTGCTTTGGCTTGTCTTATTTAGCCAAAAGACAAGTGTTTTAGATGTATATATTGCTTATAGGTAGAACTAGCTGGTGCCTCTACATGCGTTTGCATATTTTATACCTATTTTTTTTTTAAACTTATGAAATCCATTTTTGATGGAGAGATCATGTACTTAAAGAGGTTTTGTTCTTTTTTGAGCTTGAGTGCCAAGAACTTAGAGCACGTGTTCAATCGTTATTTTTCTCTCTTTTATGGTAATCAACATGTATTTGTGTTCTTCTGGGAAACATTGAAAATGTTCATTACTTTCTGAAGGTCAGAGATTCTGTCTATTGTTGAAACACAACAACAAGCATTCTTTTTCAAGTTTTTTCTTGTCAGCAAAATGTGAAATTTTGTCCATGATGTATTTTTTTATACTTTGATCAAGGAATTAAACCTCTCTGAGGATATATTCTTTTAACTTTGCCTGCTTCTGCTTGTAATATTTGCATGTCTATTAATTCCTTTCCTGAGTGATATTCACCATCGACCAGCATTGTTTTGAAGTCACGGTGTGAATGTTTGGCGTTCCAACGTGATAACAGTTGATAACAGGCCTGACATTCGCGGATTTTCATTGGGCAATCATTTGCTCATCTCAATGATGTTGCACTTAATCTATGAAAGCATTGAGTTGCAGATTGCTAGATCCGCATTTTTTTTTCCTAAGCGGACTAAGACGACAACAAATGTCGAATGATCTAAATTATCAGAAAATTTGAACAATATGTTCCAATATCGTATGAGAATAACTTATTTTGATTTTAAAATGGCATCACACGCAGGGGTTATACCCCTGATAAAACCAAGTAGCCTAACTTACTAAGTGAGCAAGTGAATTTTAAACTGACTCTTAAAATCTTAAATATAAAGGTTCATAAATTGGATTTACACGTGCCAAATATTTTTTGGTTCCCAAAAGACTCTTTCAGTGCCAACCTATATTGCGTCGAGAATGTTAATAGATATAACATAATATTCTTCTGATATGTTCACAATTTGATATTGGTTAAACGAATAAAAATAGTATTTCGTCATTCAAAATTTAATGTCAAAGATATTAAAACTGGACCAACACAGTTTCAATTTCCAAAAAGCTAATGTTAAGCTACAGACATAAAATGAACTGAATTAAACTCATGCGCCTCGGTAATGCTTCGGGAAATACACTTAAGCGCTTTCAATCGTGCATTTAAATTATTTTTAATGAATTTTAATTTTAGGCCATGGGTGACAGTAAAGCCTGTGTGATACTGAGTAAAAGGCCTATAGCCTACTCATTATCAAATGGAAGCCTGCAATTTTACATATTTACAGGCTAAAGTTTGTCATAAAACAAAATGACACGGAAAGTAGATTTAGCACTACATATAGAATGGCTTAGTTCTACTTAACGCTATACTCTCCCCCTAAATCAACCTTCATGTGCAGCTTTGTTTCGCTTTGTCGCTCTGGATAAGCTCTTAGATAAACGAGTTTGAGCTGAAATGAGATTAGACCTTTGAAAGATGCCATGCACCGGCTGATGCTTGAACCGGTTATTAGGCAGATAAGTCTCCCAAATGCCATTCTGTACAAAAGGTGTAAATAGATTATCCAGACCGGATGTGTGCTTCTGTCTGTTTTGATCAACAAAGAGAAACGAACACAGCCAAGTAAATTAAAAGTACAATTATAAAATGCAGATGTGAAGTAAACGGGTCCTTGTTCTTTTTATTTGTGCTGATTCAGCTCATCTAAGGGATAGTTACCCACATCAGTTTTAATAGACTAATATTCGAATTAATTGTTTTTTTAATAAATCTTTAGATATAGCCTAAAGCAGAGATGCCTAAAACATAGGGCTCGCGGGCCAAAGTTGGCCCGCATTAACCTTTGATTTAGCCCACCATCTTATCTTAAAAGAGAGGGAGACTGATGGGGATGGTATGTTTGTTTTATTAATCAAAGTTAACTGAAATTAAATGTTTCAATGAAATAGTGTTAAATAATTTTGTTTAAATTTACATGTCACCCGAAAATGCAGACACTTTGGAGAGCAAATCAAGTGAAAGGCTGATTCTGCTTGTGCATTCAGCATTGAACTCCACTGAGTGATTGCTCATGTTTCTATTGCAATAGCCTAAAGTATCGTTTAAATAAATTATACTGTATTAGTTTATATGATTTAAAGTAACTTTTTCTATGTATTTGCAAATATTGAACACATCAGGAAGTTACACATCAACTTTAATTCTTTTGCCTACGGCTCTCAATGATATTTGGTTTTCGGCCATTTATACGAAAAAGTTTGGGCACCCCTGGTCTAAATCATTATTTGCACTTTAGACGTAGACCTACTTAGGCTACTTAGACCTGATTAGTTCTTTTGGGACATCTTAATTTCATAAAATATTCTTTGCAGTTGGGAAAAAAACGTTCTAGACGAAGATAGCCTATTTAGTTTATTATTAAACGAAAAATAGCTGCAGTGTTGCGAAAAAGTGTTGCAACCTTTATATTTAAATTTTAAACTTTAATTATAAATCGATAAAATTGTAATGTTCTATATTTTATTATAAAAAATCTTTATTAAAATTAAAAGATAATTTGATGCGTCTTTTACACAGACACTGGATAGGTTTCGTCACAAAGGTCTAATATTTTTTTTTTTACTTTTCGTAACAATTAAGTAATTGTAAAAGTAATTCTGTAGATGTTATTACGTTTTAGTATTTTTTTTTTTACATTATCTCATTTTAAAATTAGTATTTTTAATATTTTTTTATGTTTATAGCCTATGGTCAAGTCAATGATTGTATCCTATTCTTTAAAGTTTTTTTGTAACATTTTTTGCGACCTTTGTTTCCAAATCTTTTCAATCTCTTTTCGAACAAACAAGTTGCAGGACTATGGTCTATTTTTGCGCCATTTGTGACGTGTGGTCAGCTGTTGCAAAATTACGCACGAGCGCAAGGTGCTGACTTTCTCTCCAACTGTCACCTCACTCATGGGAACCACCTTTATAGCAATGCCATCATCCGAAATTTGCTAGTACAACATGTGGTCTTTCTGACCATTTGTTAAAAACTGTCAAATTAAAGCGACACGTGTCCTGACCTGGTTATAAAAACAAACGCGCTGCGAAGAAGGCACGCGCATGTGCCCGAGCATTTCCTGAAGTCACACTTTACTTCACACGACGGTTTAATAAAACCACTGACAAAATGTTTTTGTTTTTTTAATAGCATGTTACATTTCTGATTTTACATTTACATTAGGATGATTTAGGTTTGGTATTACAAAGCGACATTGTTTGGATTATAAATCTTTCATCCGAACTCTGCACTTTTTTCACACTGAAAGGTATTTTAAAAATAAATAAAAGAGAACAATACCTCAAAGTCTGTCTGTTTAATTAGCTTTGCATATTATTGCTTCGATAAATAGCTAATCCCTTTAGAAGCTTTTCGCCACAGTACGATTTGGGCTTAAAGCGGGTAGGTTGGTGACCTGCTTTTAAATCGTATACAGCTCCCTTACAAGTAGCGCCGTCCTTTTAATGCCTATTATTCATGTGCGCTAATCCTCGGCGGGTGGGAAATGAAGGGGGTCCGGTCCCCCTCCGCGGGATATTAATTGAAGGTAAGCATCTACAATGCGGACGTCTGTGCTTCAGCGCTTCACCATTGCGCGTCCGACGGCCTGTTGCGCAGGGGCGGATACACAGCCTGTTGACCAGGCGCTTCAATGACATTACCCTGAGCAACATCTGGCCGTGCAGCACTCGCCTGCCCCTTTAATTAGAAAAGGAGTCGCCTCGCTGCGCAACTACCAAGGCCTTGATGTGCACAGCCAGTCTGAAATATTACCTGTGCTTTTAGAGACGTTTTTATGCATAGAGAATCATTCATTTTCCAAAAGAAAAAATGCACCTATTCACGTTTTTACCCAAGCTGAAAATTCAAAACACAAAACAACCATTTTTACTGTATTCTTACAGCATTTGTAATAAAATGCACACTTAAGTTTTAGCCTCTATATCAGAATCATTCCAAGATCAATCTTGTTATACTGAGGCCTGGCTCCACAGTGAAATCTTGGATGCTTTAGCCTGTGTTTTATTGACATGTTGGTCATCGTCGCTGAGTCTTTTTAAAACTAGGATACATAATTAGTTTTCCAACAGCAGTGTGCTAAATCTCTTAAACTTTGAAACACAGTAGCCACAGTTGTTTACTTGGACTGCTCAATCAACCTCAAAGAGACATTACACCTCTTTAAAATGATGTACTATTAAAGGTTTCCTACACTGTCAAAAATAAAGATAGCCTACAAAAGCTGTTACTGCTGCAAATCTGCACATTTTTAGTTCAAATTTCTATATTGGCATCTCAAGGGTAAATTATCTAAAGATTTTAAGAGGAAAACTTTTGTCCCTTTGGGCAACATGTACCTTTAAAGCATGAATATGAACCATTTGTGTATGTCTTTTAAAATCTCACCAATGACAGCTTCTTGTTTCTGAGAGTGTACTAATATTATTTTCATAGGAATTTCGGGATAACTTCATATTCTATTAAAATGCACAGCAAGCCCTGTTTACTATGTGGTATATTGCATATGATTTCCAAATACTGCTCTTAAAAAATTATATATTATACAAGATTGTAAATCTTGTCTATAGTAAATCACAATCTTGTCTATAGTAAATCAGAAGGATTACATACTGGGAATGCTACTTGCACGGCTGTTGTAATTGTAGAATTATTATAAATCAAATATTTAATATAGATCACAGTAAAATAACTATGAATTTAGAAAGTACAGATCACGCTGAAAACATATTTAAAGTATAAATTACCTGTTAATTTATTCACATTTTACATTAAGGCAAATTCTCACCAATAACAAACATTTAATTATTAAATTTGCCTAAATAAACTTGAAATTCACAGCTTATTAATAGTTGTTAAGGTAGTTATGTTTATATATTGTTTAGGGTTTGGATGTAGAATAAGATTGTGCAGAAAATGTACCTTCTAAGTACTAATAATCTTAAACTAATTATCTTAATAATAGACCGGTAAGTCACTAGTTAATAGTGAGAACTGGTACTTAAACGGAAGGGTTATCATTCATTTGTTTTTAAGTATTTAATTTACGTCAATGTATTCCATAGAATCGCATACACAAAAATAACTATGCAAAAAAAAAAGTCACATTTGCAATAGTGCTGTGTGGATACAAAGTTTGCAATTCACTTTTTAGTTTATGTACTCTTGTTTTCATGTCAGTAAGGGGCTCTATGCAGCTAGTACTTTTTAGACAATGATTAACATTCTGTGAAAGGTTTATGTGACTATTTGCAATTCCACCCAGTTCTTTTTATATCGATGCTGTAATGTAATTAAAATACAATCTGTTAAATTGACTTAAGCTTTCATTTAGCTGTTTAAGTGTAAAATGCGATGGAAAAAAAAAACATTAAAAATATCAGGGTAAAAATTTATTATTTTAAAGACAGGGTGGGAAAAATGGAATTTAATGCAGTGCTTCTTGTACGGACTGACTGGGACACAACTTTTATCGTATATTTATCAAGCAGTGAAGATCACGGATTTTTAAAGAAATCCAAGTGGCAATTCAAAATTTTTTGGAGTTTAAATTGTCAATTTTGTAAAGGAAACAGTTCACCGGAAGCACTTGCGCTGGCTGATGGAAAATTAAAAGTTTGTTTTAGGGTTGGGTGATGTCGATCCAATTCGGCATCGTATGATATCTAATGTAAAACATTGCGATGGACGATGGTCTTGCATTGTAGGCGGCGGTGAATTATTTATTAACGAATAATTAATTAATTCATAACAAATAAATTATTTGTAGCCTTCAGTCACCTAACCTGCGGGATCTTTGTTTTACCCATAACCAAACCATAAATATATAAAATTAAGTTACACACAAATTACCATTTGTCAATCACTTTTTCCATGGGACTCTGGCATGAATAGGCAGAATGATCTGTGTCATTATAATGGCATCAACAAACTTGGTTGGTAAAAAAGGTGCACAACCAACAGGAACCAGCCAACAGTATCTGAGGTTTTCGCTAAAATGACTAAATACAAGCGTGAACGATTTGAAGCAGTGTACTGACACTGTGACACGTTACCTGATAGATTACTTCATTGATGCATTCCAATGTCTTTCCCACTGTGGCCTTGGCTTCATCTAGATCTTGCTTGACCAGAACTGGTCCAATTAGTTTGTAAACTGTGTTTTGGCTATCCAGCAAGGCAAGCTCCTGAAGAGGAATGGAAGATCAGAGAGAGAATTTTGATTTTATTGCCATTTCAGCTTTTATAGATATGTCATGGCCCAAAAATAAATAAAAATCAGCATCAGGTATACCACGTTTTATAAATAAAACTTTTCTATAATTATAAACATATTCTAACAAGTACAATCGTGAAAGTGAAAGATTGAAGCAGTGTACTGACACTGTGACACGGTATCTGATGGTTTAAAAAGACAGAAGAGTCGTTTAATAGAGACAAGATTAAATATCACGTTTAACAACTATAGTGAGACACAATTTAGCGGTACATCCTAGATAACTTTCCAACGTGCACTGCTCTCTGGGGTTTTGCGCTCAAAGCACCTGCTGATTGCCTGGAGCTCAGACGGGCTGTTCAGAAATGCTAGATGAAACACCAGCGTGGACGTGAATCATTTTCATTCTAAAATGGCATTTTAAAACTAAGACGCATTAGTGTAAAAAGGGCCTAAGTGTGTATTTTTCACGAGCAGGTTTTCGACGGGGGCAGGGTGGAGGATCGCGATGCTGGCTCAGCATCTTGATGTCTACGAGATGGCATCGTATATTAATCCAACCCTAGTCTGTGTGCATATATACCCTATTCATGTTCTTTATTTTAATGATAACTTAACGCTTAGTCAAAAGCTAAGCTAATAATTCTTTTTAATTATTCAGCTTAGACCTGCATCACAAAATAACCCATTACAAAAATTTGTGGATTAGCATGCTCTGAATCTCACTCTCAGCATGTCAAAATAAACAGCAGGACACCAAAAATAAATAATCAAGATTTATTGATAGCCTAATAGCATCAAACAAACAAAAAAAGCCTACAGAACTGTAATAGACATGTGAAGAAGCATGTGTTTTTAGCAGGTGCAATCAGTCTCTGAGTTCCGCTGGAAAAGACCAGTGTCCCAAACAGAATTATGGTCCATCTAGGCCTTGGCAACAGCCTGACCCTGAGCCCGCTGGTACTCCTGCTGGAGACTGGACAAAACCTCCCGATGCTGCTCAGACTTCCTCTCCATCTCCTTCAATAAAGTCTCATAGCGCTGACTGAGATGAAGAGCAGAGAAATACTCAGTTACATCAGAATCAACTGCGGCATCCGCATTCAATGAAACGTAATGTGAGCTGGCATTAATCATACTTACATTTCACCATTGATGTATTCCAATCTCTTTCCCACTGTGGCCTTGGCTTCATCTAGATCTTGCTTGACCAGAACCGGTCCAATTAGTTTGTAAACTGTGTTTTGGCTATCCAGTAAGGCAAGCTCCTGAAGAGGGATGGCAGATGTGATATAACATGATGAATGTGTATAGTAGGGCTGCACAAAACACTGCCTGACAGTAGTCTTGACGTTTTTCCCAGTTCTAAGAGCAACAAATAATAACTTGACTTCTAGTTGATAATTTGGAAAAGTGTCAGAAGGTAGATTTTTCTGATGAATCATCATGTGTTGAACTGCATCTCAATCATCACAAATACTACAGAAGACCTAATAGAACCCGCATGGACCCTATATTGTCACAGAATCAGTCAAGTTTGGTGGAGGAAAAATCATAGTTTGGGGTTACATTCAGTATGGGGGTGTGCTAGATATCTGCAGAGTGGATGGCAACATCAACAGCATGAGGTATCAAGACATTTTGCTGCCCATTACATTACAAACCACAGGAGAGGGTAAACTGGAAATTCTTCAGCAGGATAGCGTTCCTTCTCATACTTCAGCCCCTACAACAAACTTCCTGAAAGCAAAGATGGTCAAGGTGCTCCAAGATTGGCCAGCCCAGTCAGCAGACATGAATATTATTAAGCATGTTTTTGGTAAGATGAAGGAGAAGGCAATGAAGATGAATCCAAATAATCTTGATGAATTCTGGGAGTCTTGCAGGAACGCTTTCTTTGCCATTCCAGATGACATTGTTAATAAGTTAATGGAATCATTGCAGAGATGTATGGATGCAGACCTCCAAGCTCATGAGAGCCATACACAATATTGATTATTTTTCCACTGCACCATGACGTTATATTCTATACTGTACATTATTTCTGTTAAGTGACATGACTTTTGTCTAAGCAAAGTCAGACCTTCTTGTCCTAATTAATGATCGTATTTTATTTTGGTAAAATAAGTGTAATCTAGAGGCCTTTGCCTTTCATATAAGCCAATTCTGATACCAAATGATCAACTAGAAGTCAAGTTATTATTTGCCTTTCCTAAAACTTGGATAGGCGACAAGACTTTTGTCAGGTAGTGTATATCATTTCAGCATCGATTTGACAATGTGCGCATCTGCAATAGACCCATCACAAGATCTGCAATGTTGAGTCTGAATTACAGGTGTCTAGGAGCCACAGAACACATCTGATTTGTGTCACTGCTAAGTTAAATCAGCGTATGTGTTTTTAAGGCCTTTGACTGAGCATTTCAAGATAGGTTGGGCACAATGATGTTTAGAGGTTTAAGTAAAATTAATTGAATTTAATTATTTGTAAGAAAAAAATTTTTTTTACTTAGAATTTTTGTCTAGTTTCAAGCCCAAATATCTCAATTTCAAAGAGGAAATAGGAATTTGAATGACCTCATTGGTAGATAATTTAGCATGTATTAAGGGAAAACCTCTCATTTTATAAGAATCTTCTTTCATAAGAATATTTTTTACTTGATCTACAAGATTTTTTAGATATTTGGACAAGAAACGAGACAAGAAAAATATATATATATATTTTTTTGTATTGTGATTACTGAATTTCTGTTCCTGAATATTGTTTAACTCCCTATAAAACTAATAGAAAATAGGGCTATTCAAATTATCTAGTGAAACTATACATAAATTTAAATATTGTATAACTATTGAATATTTATCACAGAAAAATAAAAGATTGCAATATCAGATTTTTCCAATATTGTGCAGCCCTGTATAGATTTGATCATACACTCAAAAAAGGATTTTTGCTACTTGTTCAAACCACTTGTAAAATTAGCTGAAACAACACAACTCTTGTGTTTTTTTAGCGACAACTTAATTGTTTTATGTTCAATGCACTTCAGTTTGTAAAAACATTTAAGTTAACTTAATCCGTTCGATTTGGGACAACATGAAGCAATTGTGTGGAACCCAGCATTTTTTAAAATCTAACCATATACTAACTGAAATGTACCATAAAAGATATAGAACACTCTTAAACTTACCTCCTTTACAATGTTATTTTCAGTCAACTGTGCCTCCAGTTTCTGTCTTGCTGACATACTTTTACTGACATCTGTGAAATAAAATGGCATTAAATTTAGTCTCTAATCGCTACTCTACAGAAATCAGTGCTAAGAAATTATGCCAGCCAACACATTTTATATAAACGATGACATTACAGAATAATAACATTTAAAAAAGGTTTTTAAAAAAGCTATATTTTTATAATTTAAAAATAACATGTATATAAGAAATTGCTATGTTTTTAGTAATGGAAGGGAACAAAACATTTTTTAAATTATATTTAGCATTATTAGAGTTTCAAAATAGACATCACACTTATTTATAACATTTTATGAAATATAACTACATGTGTCACAAACCATTAAATGTCAACAAATACCCTTCTAATATTTTAATACAATATAAAGATATCTTCATGTTAAAAGCTAAACCATGATAGATTAGAATATGTTTCATTTTTACACTATATCTCACACTTTTTGGATAATGTTTTCTGAAAAATATGAATACATGATATGTCTGTTATTTTAAAAAGAAATCAAACACATTAAAGTGAAAGTTTACACAAGTACAATACACTGGTCTGTTTTATAATATGTAGTAATATTATAATTTTGCCTTTCATTAAATATTTTAATTTTAAAATATTTGAGCAATCATGAGACATTAAAATCAAAGCAATTACATATTTTCTATTATCAATAAAATCTATTTTTAATTTAAAATCTAAAGCTTATAATAAGCTACAGTATTATCATTACTGGGCAGCATGGTGGCGCAGTGGGCAGCGCAGTCGCCTCACAGCAAGAAAGTCGCTGATTCAAGCCTCGGCTGGGTCAGTAGGTGAACTGGGTGAGCTAAATTGTTTGTAATGTATGTGTGTGAATGATTGTGTATAGTTTACTAGTGATGGGTTACAGATAGAAGGGCATTCGCTGTGTAAAACGTGCTGGATAAGTTAGCGGTTCATTCCGCTATGGCAACCCCAAATTAATAAAGGGACTAAGCCGAAAAAAATGATGAATGATTTATCATTACTGAAAGTTTTAAAGGTTGATATTGTTTTTATTTCATTCATTTTCTTGTGGGCTTAGTCCCTTTATTCATCCAGGGTCGCCACAGCGGAATGAACCGCCAACTTACCCAGCAAGTTTTTACGCAGCAGATGCCCTTCCAGCCGCAACCCATCTCGGGGAAATGTTTATATTTAATGTTATTTTATTTATATATATTTAATATATATATATATATATATATATATATATATATATATATATATATATATATATATATATATATATATATTATCACTAAATTAAATAAAAACAACATCAACATCAACATCAAAGTATGTTGTATACTGTAAACTCGCAGACTTTTTTCGTCACATCCATAACACATGTTTATTTATTTATTTAAAATGTATTTAATTTTTTAAAAATTTACAGATTGATTTTTTCTGCTCCCATGACTCTGTGGTTGGTAGCTTCTCTGGGAATTCATGTTTTGAAATGTGTGTATATGTATGTATATGTATGTATGTATGTATGCATGCATGCATGCATGCATGCATGCATGTATGTATATATATATATATATATATATATATATATATATATATATATATATATATATATATATATACATACACACACACATACATACATACATATATACATACATACATATATACATACATACATATATATATGCATTATTTGGTATATGTTTTTTGAACAATCATGATTTATAAAATCTCAAATTAATTATATTTATTCTAATTTAGTTAAAACTTTTTATTTATTCAAAGATATGTTGCAGGAAATGTGCAAGTGTACACTGGTATAACTTGGCTATATGAATATTCATAATGGTGTTACTATAAATACCAAGAAACTTACACAATGAATCATAAAATAAAATAAAATAGTAAAAGCCTTTTTAAAACGTTCAATAATGAGAATTTGTAGATTGAATGTGGATTTTGTCTAAAATAGCTCTGGGTAGCTAAATCAAGTCCAAATACAACATAACCGTGACATTTGTACTTTATCAGTGCATTGCACTACATAGATATTAAACCTGAATACAACAAATTACTACAAATACGTTAAATATAAATTATTAAAGGAGCACACACATACATATATACACACACATACATACATACATATATACATACATACATATATATATGCATTATTTGGTATATGTTTTTTGAACAATCATGATTTATAAAATCTCAAATTAATTATATTTATTCTAATTTAGTTAAAACTTTTTATTTATTCAAAGATATGTTGCAGGAAATGTGCAAGTGTACACTGGTATAACTTGGCTATATGAATATTCATAATGGTGTTACTATAAATACCAAGAAACTTACACAATGAATCATAAAATAAAATAAAATAGTAAAAGCCTTTTTAAAACGTTCAATAATGAGAATTTGTAGATTGAATGTGGATTTTGTCTAAAATAGCTCTGGGTAGCTAAATCAAGTCCAAATACAACATAACCGTGACATTTGTACTTTATCAGTGCATTGCACTACATAGATATTAAACCTGAATACAACAAATTACTACAAATACGTTAAATATAAATTATTAAAGGAGCCGAACATAAAGATGATTGAGGTAAAGTTGGTTTTATATTCGCACATTCGTTCAGTGAAAACTTGTGACATCCCTACATTGTTTACCATGGTGATTTTGATAGTCAATGGCTGCTAATATGATTTTACCATTTAGAATTGACAAAAATACTTTAATAAGATTTTTAGAGAGAAAGCCAATTTACACAATGAGGTAAAGTTGGTTTTATATTTACACATTCAGACTTTCTCCTATTAAAAATTCCGAAAAGTATTCTGTAGTTAGCAAATCCTAAATAGTGAAACCATATTAGCAGACGATGGCTATCAAATTACACCATTATTCAGTCAAATAAATAGTGATAACGTTAATGTAGTCTTATTTACATGTGATTTCAGACCGAATATTCAAAGTACCATGGTAAACAATATAGGGAGCATGCCACACATTGTCACTGAACGAATGTGCGAATATAAAACCAACTTTGCCTCAATATAAAGATGCCCATGCAGGGAGTGTTGGATTGCTAACTCTGAGCTTTTCGTGCTGTAAGTTACCTTTCTGGAGTTGTTGATATTTCTCCAACTCAGCTTGCAATTTCTTCTGAATCGCTTCAGCCATCACACCTGCTATTCCAATGTCTGACTTATTATTATTGCTAAATAATAAAAATCACGATATTTTATGACAAATGCAGACAGTCAGCAGCACACTACTCAAGCACACAGTCTGAGGCGCACGGGAAATGACGTCATATCATTGCGTCACATGGGGGTTTTACGATAGCTGATAAAAAGAGTTACTTCGCCATCTAGTGTTTAAGAAAAACATACACAATTTTTTTCAGTATTATGTTTATTCACACACCTTTAAATAATTTGCTCTATAATTTTACGCACCATATGTAGATTTAACGCATCAGTTAATGTGATTTTTGGATTAATACGATGGGTACAATTTTTCCAGTATCTAAAAGCGTAGTGCCTCTCCTGTCCATGTGGTGTCAGTCTATCCTCTTCCTCCAAGCCCTCTGTAGTGACAGTCAAGGCAATATGGCAGCGCGCATGGTTCAAATTCTAACGTGAAGGTCTTTTTTCGGGTGTGCGCGACCACATAGAATCACAACAGCAGGTAAAGTCAGTTATATATTTTTTCTATAACACAAGCAAATGTAATGACTGTTCTAAATCTGCACCTTAAGCAGCGTTTTAAACATATGTAGGGTAAAATAGTATCATGTGCTATATTCATCTATTACGAGAATGAACCATGGTTTAAAGAGTTAAGTGTAATCATACTTTTTTTGTCGTATCGATTGTTATTTATAACCACAGTATTACTGAAAGTACTACAGTTTAGCTGGGGTTAGTGTAACAAAACCATGTTGATTTGAGGTTACCATGGTTAGTTTTTGTGGTAAAACCATGGTTAATTTTCGTAATAGATGTCATGATGTTTTAACTTTATCGATATTTGCTAGTAACGTTATTCTTCTTCTTGTGATTCTTCAAAACTTTTTTTATTTTTTTCAATAAAAAAATCAAATTTTCTAAGATGACAAACAAACAAACAACCATTAACCACCATTTAACCATAGTATCTGTGGTAAACCTGTAACGTTAGTTACACTAATAATATGTCTGTCAAAACACGCGCACACACACACTTCCCTTGGTTCAATTTCATAAGGGCAGGAATGAAATAATAGAATAAAACATAAATAATTCATAAATTCTATTGTTTTGTCAGGCAGTCATTTTGAGTGTGGCTATTTTTGCTTTTTTCTATAATGAACCTGATATCTTTGCTGTGAGTTGAATGTGTATTATGAAATGTGTTCATGGTTTTAGAGTTATGACAGAGGTTGTCACTTTGTAAAATTCATATAAAACATTTGTATGATGATTAGTCCTCTGAACCTGCAATTTTAGTTGAAGAAATCACTTTTTTTGGACACTTTAATCTCAGTTGTTTTGATTATGCTTGTTACTTGTGGGAGCGACACAGTAGTTTGTGTCGACACACCAATGTTTCTGGTGGGGTTAATTTTATTTGTTGTGAATACTAGTAGGAACCTAGTATAAACACGGCTAGAGATTGGATACACTTGGGATGTTCTATGTTAGTAAACTGTGTGATGTTTTTCAGAAATTTCTTATTAAAGTCTTATGTTTACATAGAAATTTTATAACTTTTATCATCATTTTTTCATAAATCTGAACAGCTCATTATTGATGTTGTTATAATAAGCATTTATAACAAAGATAAATGCTATTATGACTGACAGGTGCTTATCTGGACATTATTCTGGACCTTATGCTGTATGTTGAGGGAAAAGTGCCTTAAGTTTATTTGATTTGTTTTATTAAGCTTTATTTACAACCCTATCAATTTAAAGGACCCTCAGTACATCCAATATGTGGCAGGCCAATGAAAATTATGAATTTTGTGTTTATGAATTGTCAGTCAAAATCTAGTAACTTAAAATGATTTGTAATATTTTAATTTTAAAAAAGCTGAAACATTAAAATCTTAAATGTTTTAAAAAGTGCCATCTAAAATTTTCTTCTACAATTAGCATTTTTCTCTGCCTCTTATGTTCAATTTCAGTTATTTCATGTTAAAATTGATGAAAATTACCTATTCTTTGCCATACAAATAAAAGTACCGAAGCAAGACATGGGACGCCTGAGAAAAATGCAAGTTTTAGAAAAAAATTTCAGATGCATGGCACTTAGAAGTTTTTACATCTAAACTCTTCATATATTCTTATAATGTTGTGAAAATGCTTATTTATCTATATTGTTTAACTTTAATCTTCGTTTTTGTTATTAACGCTTGAGCAAAACCTATTATATTATATTATATTATATTATATTATATTATATTATATTATATTATATTATGTTATGTTATGTTATATTATATTATATTATATTATATTATATTATATTATATTATATTATATTATATTTTATTACCATTAAATTTCCTCTATTTGAAATGTACAATTCACAATTATCACATAGCTATCTCTAGTCTTGGGCGATATGGCAAAAATGCTTTCTAAATAATTATTGAACAATAAAGCTGGTTGTTAATGCTTCCAGATATAAAAGAGTACTCCAACAATGGCTGAAGCCACAAAAAATTAAGGATCCATTAAATGGCATAACATATTTTCGGCCAATACAATTTAAGTTGCAAAAATTTGGTATATATCTAATATCAACACACTTTTAGATTCCCATTGTTGGTCATTTCGGCTGAGATTTAATATAGAGTAAACTGTCAGAGCTTGTCTTTGTTATTGACATAAATTTTATCACAATTCGATATAATATCATTTATCGGCCCAGCCTTACTTATTTGTAATAATTGTTTTCAAATGAACTAACCATAATGGATAGCCCCCAACTCCAAAAAAACATTTAATGGTTAAAAATAATAATAATAATAATACATTTTATTTTAAAGGCACCTTTCTGGCAACTCAAGGACACCATACAATAAAACAAGAGCAATAAAACAACAAGAGAAATAATATAAAAGTAAACACAACAAAATTGTTAATAAAAATGTTTGATAAACAGCCTATATGTTTGCAAATAGTGAGTAACATTAAACACGTCAACAACTTCTGGGACTTGGAGAGTTAAAAAATATTTATATAAGCAAAACATATGATACATATGAAGTCTTGTGAAGCAAAACAATCGTCATTTGCATCACTCTTAAATATTACTACCTTAAATCCACAACCTTGTTTTTAAATCAGTTCATTTGAATCTAATCAGAATGTTTGCAATAATACCACTGTAATATATTCCACATTAGAGCTACTCAATGTCATTTGAGAATTCCCACCTTGTTCTAGTTTGCAGTTGTAAATTAGGAGGTAGTTTAGCTCTTTGCTGAGGTTATCACAAATTGCACTCTGCGGTCTTGTCAAAATCAATATGCACCTGGAGGGTATCAGAGGAATTGAGCTGAATTCTGAAACTCCAGTCCGCCTGCTGAATTGTGCCCTGTTTGTTGCACCATTATTTGTCATAGAATGGAGCAGGACAGAATCTCTGCTGCTTCTCAAATCATTTGATTGCTTTTAGTGAGAAAATGTATTCATCCGCTGTTGTACACAATCAGCTTCTATTAGAAAACAGCAGCTCGTCGCCTATTGTGAAAAGCAATTTTCTCATATCGCCCGATTTTTGAGAGCTGGTAAAAGAAATTAAATCATTTTACCAGCCATTTCTGCTATGCGTAAATGTTTAATACACTATCCCGCTCATTTATTTTCCCGGGTTTTGTCTACTTCGCGAAAAACCAAGAAATGCTGGTTCAGCAGTATTTTAAATGGGCTATTCTTGCCTCAACAAACATGTTGTTTTCCCATGTCTGCAAGTTCAATTTGTCTCAAACCAGAAACAGATGTATCAAGAGAGTGAAAATCCAAATGAACTGGCTGGCTTTCAAAAGTCGGGCTGTAAATCTATATATGTAAATGTGAAGCTGCAGAGGGAATGATTTTGAGGTTCTTAAATCACTTCATAAAGAGAGTCCTGTCTCTCTTTGTCGTCTTATACTATGAATGATGTAGCCCTGCTAATGCCGTTGACTCCCTTGAGTGTTTCACTTCACTACACCTGCTTTTATCCCAGGTTGAATTGGAGTTTGATCAGAACAGCATTCGCTCGGTCTCTGAGGTTTCTCTTGTACTATTGCTTTCTCTGAATTTGCATTAGGATATTAATTCACTTTACCGAGTCTAGGGATTTTTTAACATTCCAGTTTTTCTTTGGCCAATGGACAAAATGCTCTAGCTGTGAAATAAATAAATAAACCCCAGCCACATTCATTTATTGCTAATGGTATATTGCCCTATTTTCCCGGTGCGATTTAAAATCCCAGAGCTTGGCATTTCTATTTTTTATCATTGTTATGGGCCAGATACTTCAGTGTAAAACATTGCAGCGATTAATTTCCGGGAGCCAATTGTTCGTATCTACTTCATTATTCTCTGTTGAAACAAAGTAGGAAAAAAAATCAAACAGCACTTTGGCTAAAGATTAATGTGCAGCAAACAGATGCTGATGGACTGCAAAGTGTTGGTTTCAGTGTTTCCAGGACATTAAAGGAGGAATAGTTCACCCAAAACTGAATATTCTCTCATTATTTACTCTTCGTTCACTTGTCACAAACCTGTCTGAGTTTCTTTTTTTTTCTTGCTGGATGCAAAATAAGTTATTTTGAAAATTGTTGGAAATCTGTAATCTTTGGCCTGCATAGTATTTGTTTTCTCTACTGTGAATGTCAATAGTTACATTTTATTGAAGTAACTTCTTTTGTGTTCAACAGAAAAGGGAAACTTATAACTGTTTGAACAGAGAGTAATAGAGTACATTTTTATATTTGGGATGTCTTTTAAAATTACACTATAATTGTAAATATAAGGCAATTTTATTATAAGCAAAGCTGCATTTTATAGTCTGAAGATCAGAAATCAATCCATGATATACTGGGTCAGTTTTATGCTGAAGATGTTGTGTCGTCTGGAAAGTTAGACATTATTAACTGTTTAGTTTTTTTAACAGATCCAATACATTTCCGAAGTAACTTCTTTTGTGTTCAACAGAAAAAAGGAAATCGATAAACAT